AAACGTGGATTTTTTAAAGAAAATTTCCAAAAATTATTTGAGGCCTTTAAACGTGGATTTTTTAAAGAAAATTTCCAAAAATTATTTGAGGCCTTTAAACGTGGATTTTTTAAAGAAAATTTCCAAAAATTATTTGAGGCCTTTAAACGTGGATTTTTTAAAGAAAATTTCCAAAAATTATTTGAGGCCTTTAAACGTGGATTTTTTAAAGAAAATTTCCAAAAATTATTTGAGGCCTTTAAACGTGGATTTTTTAAAGAAAATTTCCAAAAATTATTTGAGGCCTTTAAACGTGGATTTTTTAAAGAAAATTTCCAAAAATTATTTGAGGCCTTTAAACGTGGATTTTTTAAAGAAAATTTCCAAAAATTATTTGAGGCCTTTAAACGTGGATTTTTTAAAGAAAATTTCCAAAAATTATTTAAGGCCTTTAAACGTGGATTTTTTAAAGAAAATTTCCAAAAATTATTTAAGGCCTTTAAACGTGGATTTTTTAAAGAAAATTTCCAAAAATTATTTGAGGCCTTTAAACGTGGATTTTTTAAAGAAAATTTCCAAAAAATATTTGAGGCCTTTAAACGTGGATTTTTTAAAGAAAATTTCCAAAAATTATTTGAGGCCTTTAAACGTGGATTTTTTAAAGAAAATTTCCAAAAATTATTTGAGGCCTTTAAACGTGGATTTTTTAAAGAAAATTTCCAAAAATTATTTGAGGCCTTTAAACGTGGATTTTTTAAAGAAAATTTCCAAAAATTATTTGAGGCCTTTAAACGTGGATTTTTTAAAGAAAATTTCCAAAAATTATTTAAGGCCTTTAAACGTGGATTTTTTAAAGAAAATTTCCAAAAATTATTTGAGGCCTTTAAACGTGGATTTTTTAAAGAAAATTTCCAAAAATTATTTGAGGCCTTTAAACGTGGATTTTTTAAAGAAAATTTCCAAAAATTATTTGAGGCCTTTAAACGTGGATTTTTTAAAGAAAATTTCCAAAAATTATTTGAGGCCTTTAAACGTGGATTTTTTAAAGAAAATTTCCAAAAATTATTTGAGGCCTTTAAACGTGGATTTTTTAAAGAAAATTTCCAAAAATTATTTGAGGCCTTTAAACGTGGATTTTTTAAAGAAAATTTCCAAAAATTATTTGAGGCCTTTAAACGTGGATTTTTTAAAGAAAATTTCCAAAAATTATTTGAGGCCTTTAAACGTGGATTCTTTTAAAGAAATTTTCAAAAATTATTTAAGGCCTTTAAACGTGGATTTTTTAAAGAAATTTTCAAAAATTATTTGAGGCCCTTAAACGTGGATTTATTAAAGAATTTTTCAAAAATATTTTGAGATCTCTAAACGTGGATTTTTAAAGAAATTTTCAAAAATTATTTAAGGCCGTTAAACGTGGATTCTTTAAAAAAATTTTCAAAAATATTTTGAGATCTCTAAACGTGGCTTTTTTAAAGAAAATTTCCAAAAATTATTTGAGGCCTTTAAACGTGGATTTTTTAAAGAAAATTTCCAAAAATTATTTGAGGTCTTTAAACGTGGATTTTTTAAAGAAAATTTCCAAAAATTATTTGAGGCCTTTAAACGTGGATTTTTTAAAGAAAATTTCCAAAAATTATTTGAGGCCTTTAAACGTGGATTTTTTAAAGAAAATTTCCAAAAATTATTTGAGGCCTTTAAACGTGGATTTTTTAAAGAAAATTTCCAAAAATTATTTGAGGCCTTTAAACGTGGATTTTTTAAAGAAAATTTCCAAAAATTATTTGAGGCCTTTAAACGTGGATTTTTTAAAGAAAATTTCCAAAAATTATTTGAGGCCTTTAAACGTGGATTTTTTAAAGAAAATTTCCAAAAATTATTTGAGGCCTTTAAACGTGGATTTTTTAAAGAAAATTTCCAAAAATTATTTGAGGCCTTTAAACGTGGATTTTTTAAAGAAAATTTCCAAAAATTATTTGAGGCCTTTAAACGTGGATTTTTTAAAGAAAATTTCCAAAAATTATTTGAGGCCTTTAAACGTGGATTTTTTAAAGAAAATTTCCAAAAATTATTTGAGGCCTTTAAACGTGGATTTTTTAAAGAAAATTTCCAAAAATTATTTGAGGCCTTTAAACGTGGATTTTTTAAAGAAAATTTCCAAAAATTATTTGAGGCCTTTAAACGTGGATTTTTTAAAGAAAATTTCCAAAAATTATTTGAGGCCTTTAAACGTGGATTTTTTAAAGAAAATTTCCAAAAATTATTTGAGGCCTTTAAACGTGGATTTTTTAAAGAAAATTTCCAAAAATTATTTAAGGCCTTTAAACGTGGATTTTTTAAAGAAAATTTCCAAAAATTATTTAAGGCCTTTAAACGTGGATTTTTTAAAGAAAATTTCCAAAAATTATTTGAGGCCTTTAAACGTGGATTTTTTAAAGAAAATTTCCAAAAAATATTTGAGGCCTTTAAACGTGGATTTTTTAAAGAAAATTTCCAAAAATTATTTGAGGCCTTTAAACGTGGATTTTTTAAAGAAAATTTCCAAAAATTATTTGAGGCCTTTAAACGTGGATTTTTTAAAGAAAATTTCCAAAAATTATTTGAGGCCTTTAAACGTGGATTTTTTAAAGAAAATTTCCAAAAATTAGTTGAGGCCTTTAAACGTGGATTTTTTAAAGAAAATTTCCAAAAATTATTTAAGGCCTTTAAACGTGGATTTTTTAAAGAAAATTTCCAAAAATTATTTGAGGCCTTTAAACGTGGATTTTTTAAAGAAAATTTCCAAAAATTATTTGAGGCCTTTAAACGTGGATTTTTTAAAGAAAATTTCCAAAAATTATTTGAGGCCTTTAAACGTGGATTTTTTAAAGAAAATTTCCAAAAATTATTTGAGGCCTTTAAACGTGGATTTTTTAAAGAAAATTTCCAAAAATTATTTGAGGCCTTTAAACGTGGATTTTTTAAAGAAAATTTCCAAAAATTATTTGAGGCCTTTAAACGTGGATTCTTTTAAAGAAATTTTCAAAAATTATTTAAGGCCTTTAAACGTGGATTTTTTAAAGAAATTTTCAAAAATTATTTGAGGCCCTTAAACGTGGATTTATTAAAGAATTTTTCAAAAATATTTTGAGATCTCTAAACGTGGATTTTTAAAGAAATTTTCAAAAATTATTTAAGGCCGTTAAACGTGGATTCTTTAAAAAAATTTTCAAAAATATTTTGAGATCTCTAAACGTGGCTTTTTTAAAGAAAATTTCCAAAAATTATTTGAGGCCTTTAAACGTGGATTTTTTAAAGAAAATTTCCAAAAATTATTTGAGGTCTTTAAACGTGGATTTTTTAAAGAAAATTTCCAAAAATTATTTGAGGCCTTTAAACGTGGATTTTTTAAAGAAAATTTCCAAAAATTATTTGAGGCCTTTAAACGTGGATTTTTTAAAGAAAATTTCCAAAAATTATTTGAGGCCTTTAAACGTGGATTTTTTAAAGAAAATTTCCAAAAATTATTTGAGGCCTTTAAACGTGGATTTTTTAAAGAAAATTTCCAAAAATTATTTGAGGCGTTTAAACGTGGATTTTTTAAAAAAAATTTCCAAAAATTATTTGAGGCCTTTAAACGTGGATTTTTTAAAGAAAATTTCCAAAAATTATTTGAGGCCTTTAAACGTGGATTTTTTAAAGAAAATTTCCAAAAATTATTTGAGGCCTTTAAACGTGGATTTTTTAAAGAAAATTTCCAAAAATTATTTGAGGCCTTTAAACGTGGATTTTTTAAAGAAAATTTCCAAAAATTATTTGAGGCCTTTAAACGTGGATTTTTTAAAGAAAATTTCCAAAAATTATTTGAGGCCTTTAAACGTGGATTTTTTAAAGAAAATTTCCAAAAATTATTTGAGGCCTTTAAACGTGGATTTTTTAAAGAAAATTTCCAAAAATTATTTGAGGCCTTTAAACGTGGATTTTTTAAAGAATTTTTCAAAAATATTTTGAGATCTCTAAACGTGGATTTTTTAAAGAATTTTTCAAAAATATTTTGAGATCTCTAAACGTGGATTTTTTAAAGAATTTTTCAAAAATATTTTGAGATCTCTAAACGTGGATTTTTTAAAGAATTTTTCAAAAATATTTTGAGATCTCTAAACGTGGATTTTTTAAAGAATTTTTCAAAAATATTTTGAGATCTCTAAACGTGGATTTTTTAAAGAATTTTTCAAAAATATTTTGAGATCTCTAAACGTGGATTTTTTAAAGAATTTTTCAAAAATATTTTGAGATCTCTAAACGTGGATTTTTTAAAGAATTTTTCAAAAATATTTTGAGATCTCTAAACGTGGATTTTTTAAAGAAAATTTCCAAAAATTATTTGAGATCTCTAAACTTGGATTTTTTAAAGAATTTTTCAAAAATATTTCAAGGCCACAAAACGTGGATTTTTTAAAGAATTTTTCAAAAATATTTTGAGATCTCTAAACGTGGATTTTTTAAAGAATTTTTCAAAAATATTTTGAGATCTCTAAACGTGGATTTTTTAAAGAATTTTTCAAAAATATTTTGAGATCTCTAAACGTGGATTTTTTAAAGAATTTTTCAAAAATATTTTGAGATCTCTAAACGTGGATTTTTTAAAGAATTTTTCAAAAATATTTTGAGATCTCTAAACGTGGATTTTTTAAAGAATTTTTCAAAAATATTTTGAGATCTCTAAACGTGGATTTTTTAAAGAATTTTTCAAAAATATTTTGAGATCTCTAAACGTGGATTTTTTAAAGAATTTTTCAAAAATATTTTGAGATCTCTAAACGTGGATTTTTTAAAGAATTTTTCAAAAATATTTTGAGATCTCTAAACGTGGATTTTTTAAAGAATTTTTCAAAAATATTTTGAGATCTCTAAACGTGGATTTTTTAAAGAATTTTTCAAAAATATTTTGAGATCTCTAAACGTGGATTTTTTAAAGAATTTTTCAAAAATATTTTGGAAGGGACAATTATCCTAGACACCTATTATCACCTATTCTCCAGAGTACTATGGCAATTTTTATTTTTGTCTAAAACTGAATTTCCCCCTGCTGGGGATGAGGATGGGCTCTATGGGCCTTTGAGACCCCATGGCAAACCTAACATATTTTTTTTTGCTTTTAACCGAAATCTATTTGACCCCAAATCATCTGTAGTTGCCATTTTCACCATCGCTGTCGCCCAATTGAAAGCCCGTCCCGGAAGGGGGCCCCCTTCCGAACATGGCCATTGTTGTATTTGTGTGCTGGCCATTCATATTATTGAGCCCATAGTCGCCCATCGCTTGGCTATCATCCATGATGTTGTAGAGCCCTTCACCGGTTTCGTAAAGTACCCGATTTTTCAGCTGCTCAATTTGATGCAGCAGCTTAAGGGTCACATGATCCAGATTATCATCTTCGACATGCATTTGTTTTTGTTGCTCCTCATCCACGTCCCATTCTAGGGATTCGGGTGTGGAAATATGGGACCAAGAATTATGCGAACTATTGCGTGTTATGGAACGCTGCATATGGGAATTGGAGCGCAGAAGGGTTCTTCTCTCCACGGGACGTTGGGCATCTTTGTTACGAATGTGCGAACGTTGTCGGGTCATTTCCACTTCAGCTTCACTGGGCAGTTCCGCCATCGATGACATGGAAGCCATTGAGTTCAATTGATCCTCTTCCACTTCGCCATCTCGGCTAACGTAATGCCAGGACTCGTCCGCCGAGGTTTCATCACAGTTTTTCTTTTCCATCATTTGTAGCTGCTGATACGATTGGAGCATTTGAGTGCGCTGTTTGATCATGTGCTGTTGGTAGTGACGCATTTGACTGTATTCATGTTCCCATTCAAGATCCAAGGAGGAACTGGCCCGGGAGCTGGGCACCCGGCTGGGTATATAGTTGATCGACGATTCTTTGGTGTGGCCCGTTGTGGCCAGGAGATTGTTGACATCCAGATTTTGCAGCTGTATGTCGGAGAAGCTGGAAAGAGAGAGGAGAAATTTTTAGAAATATTTTTCAGGTCCTTAAAAAAAGGATTTTTTAAAAATATTTTTCAAGGTCCTGTAACAAACGTGGATTTTTTTAAAAATATTTTTTTAAGGACTAGCAATAAATGTGGATTTTTTTAAAAATATTTTTTTAAGGCCTATCAATAAACGTGGATTTTTTAAAAATATTTTTTCAAGGCCTAACAATAAACGTGGATTTTTTAAAAATATTTTTTCAAGGCCTTATAATAAACATGGATTTTTTAAAAATATTTTTACAAGGACTAGCAATAAACGTGGATTTTTTAAAAATATTTTTTCAAGGACCCCCAATAAACGTGGATTTTTTAAAAATATTTTTTCAAGGACCCCCAATAAACGTGGATTTTTTAAAAATATTTTTTCAAGGACCCCCAATGAACGTGGATTTTTCAAAAATATTTTTTCAAGGCCCCCCAGTAAACGTGGATTTTTTAAAAATCTTTTTTTCAAGGACTATCAATAAAGGTGGATTTTTTAAAAATATTTTTTCAAGGCCTAACAATAAACGTGGATTTTTTAAAAATATTTTTTCATGGGTCACCTATAAACGTGGATTTTTTAAAAATATTTTTTCATGGGTCACCTATAAACGTGGATTTTTTAAAAATATTTTTTCAAGGCCTAACAATAAACGTGGATTTTTTAAAAATATTTTTTCATGGGTCACCTATAAACGTGGATTTTTTAAAAATATTTTTTCATGGGTCACCTATAAACGTGGATTTTTTAAAAGTATTTTTTCATGGGTCACCTATAAACGTGGATTTTTTAAAAATATTTTTTCATGGGTCACCTATAAACGTGGATTTTTTAAAAATATTTTTTCATGGGTCACCTATAAACGTGGATTTTTTAAAAATATTTTTTCATGGGTCACCTATAAACGTGGATTTTTTAAAAATATTTTTTCATGGGTCACCTATAAACGTGGATTTTTTAAAAATATTTTTTCATGGGTCACCTATAAACGTGGATTTTTTAAAAATATTTTTTCAAGTTACTTAAATAACGTGGATTTTTTTAAAAATATTTTTTCATGGGTCACCTATAAACGTGGATTTTGTAAAAATATTTTTTCAAGTTCCTTAAATAAACGTGGATTTTTTAAAAATATTTTTTCAAGGCCTAAAAATAAAAGTGGATTTTTTAAAAATATTTTTTCAAGGCCTAAAAATAAACGTGGATTTTTTAAAAATATTTTTTCAAGTTCCTTAAATAAACGTGGATTTTTTAAAAATATTTTTTCAAGTCCCTTAAATAAACATGGATTTTTTAAATTTATTTTTTCATGGGTCACCTATAAACGTGGATTTTTTAAAATTATTTTTTCATGGGTCACCTATAAACGTGGATTTTTTAAAATTATTTTTTCATGGGTCACCTATAAACGTGGATTTTTTAAAATTATTTTTTTCTATCACCTATAAACGTGGATTTTTTAAAATTATTTTTTCATGGGTCACCTATAAACGTGGATTTTTTTAAAAATATTTTTTCATTGGTCACCTATGAACGTGGATTTTTTAAAAATATTTTTTCATGGGTCACCTATTAACGTGGATTTTGTAAAAATATTTTTTCATGTGTCTCCTATAAACGTGGATTTTTTAAAAATATTTTTTCATGGGTCACCTATAAACGTGGATTTTTTAAAAATATTTTTTCATGTGTCTCCTATAAACGTGGATTTTTTAAAAATATTTTTTCATGGGTCACCTATTAACGTGGATTTTGTAAAAATATTTTTTCATGTGTCTCCTATAAACGTGGATTTTTTTAAAATATTTTTTCATGGGTCACCTATAAATGTGGATTTTTTAAAAATATTTTTTCATGTGTCTCCTATAAACGTGGATTTTTTAAAAATATTTTTTCATGTCGTGGATTTTTTAAAAATATTTTTTCATGTCGTGGATTTTTTAAAAATATTTTTTCATGTGTCTCCTATAAACGTGGATTTTTTAAAAATATTTTTTCATGTGTCTCCTATAAACGTGGATTTTTTAAAAATATTTTTTCCAAGACCAGAAAACAATCTTTGATTTTTAATGAACATTGTTGCTCACATGGCGCCTTAAGGTATGCTCTGAATTTAATATTTCATTTACCTGTATAACACTTTATGAAAATGTCAAACATTTTAAATTTTTTATTTTATTAATACTATTTTATTTACTCAATGAATCGTTTTCTAGAATAGATTTTATTTATATAAAGATTTTGAGTATAATATCATGTTTTCGTTACGTTTTATTTTATTTCCTCTAGTTTTGGATTTTTAGTTTTTTTTTTCATAGTTTCAATTTTTTCTTCAATTTATTTTTACAATATAATTACACAGTTTATAACAGTTTACTCTCTTATATATGGATAGAATTATAATTTGTAATCGCTTTTTTTTTAGTTTTGAAATTTTATTCATTTTTTATGGTTTAAAAATATTTCAATTCATAGATTTTCAACACAATACCATTTTCGTTTTGCATTCGAACAGAGGATACCCTCCATTTTCGATTTTTCTGTCCAGTGGCGTTCCATTTGATTTTATTTGGTTGTTTTTGTTGTTGTATAGGGGTATGGTCCGTGGACATTTTTTTTTTGGGTTTTTTATGGGGGAGATCTTATTTTATAAGGGATATGTATGGATGTGTGTATGTGTGGGTTATAGTATGAGGGTTTTTTTAAAATATTCAACAAATATATATTTCAGTTTTTTTTATTTTTTATTAACAAAACACAGTTTGCAATAGGCAAATAAGATTTACAAAAAATTTTTTTTAATTTTGAAAAATAATTTTTAGGTTTTTTATAAAAAATACTTATAAAAAATATTTTAAAGAGGCTAAACAAAATTTACCTGTACTTGGACGTAACGGTTTTTAAACAGAGGCGTGGAGGGGGATTTTTTAAAATATTCTTTAAAAAAATTTTCAAAAATATTTTGAGATCTCTAAACGTGGATTTTTTAAAGAAATTTTCAAAAATTTTTTCAGGCCTTTAAATGTGGATTTTTTAAAGAAAATTTCCAAAAATTATTTGAGGCCTTTAAACGTGGATTTTTTAAAGAAAATTTCCAAAAATTATTTGAGGCCTTTAAACGTGGATTTTTTAAAGAAAATTTCCAAAAATTATTTCAGGCCTTTAAACGTGGATTTTTTAAAGAAAATTTCCAAAAATTATTTGAGGCCTTTAAACGTGGATTTTTTAAAGAAAATTTCCAAAAATTATTTCAGGCCTTTAAACGTGGATTTTTTAAAGAAAATTTCCAAAAATTATTTCAGGCCTTTAAACGTGGATTTTTTAAAGAAAATTTCCAAAAATTATTTCAGGCCTTTAAACGTGGATTTTTTAAAGAAAATTTCCAAAAATTATTTCAGGCCTTTAAACGTGGATTTTTTAAAGAAAATTTCCAAAAATTATTTCAGGCCTTTAAACGTGGATTTTTTAAAGAAAATTTCCAAAAATTATTTCAGGCCTTTAAACGTGGATTTTTTAAAGAAAATTTCCAAAAATTATTTCATGCCTTTAAACGTGGATTTTTTAAAGAAAATTTCCAAAAATTATTTCAGGCCTTTAAAAGTGGATTTTTTAAAGAAAATTTCCAAAAATTATTTCATGCCTTTAAACGTGGATTTTTTAAAGAAAATTTCCAAAAATTATTTGAGGCCTTTAAACGTGGATTTTTTAAAGAAAATTTCCAAAAATTATCTGAGGCCTTTAAACGTGGATTTTTTAAAGAAAATTTCCAAAAATTATTTGAGGCCTTTAAACGTGGATTTTTTAAAGAAAATTTCCAAAAATTATTTGAGGCCTTTAAACGTGGATTTTTAAAGAAAATTTCCAAAAATTATTTCAGGCCTTTAAACGTGGATTTTTTAAAGAAAATTTCCAAAAATTATTTCAGGCCTTTAAACGTGGATTTTTTAAAGAAAATTTCCAAAAATTATTTCAGGCCTTTAAACGTGGATTTTTTAAAGAAAATTTCCAAAAATTATTTGAGGCCTTTAAACGTGGATTTTTTAAAGAAAATTTCCAAAAATTATTTCAGGCCTTTAAACGTGGATTTTTTAAAGAAAATTTCCAAAAATTATTTCAGGCCTTTAAACGTGGATTTTTTAAAGAAAATTTCCAAAAATTATTTCAGGCCTTTAAACGTGGATTTTTTAAAGAAAATTTCCAAAAATTATTTCAGGCCTTTAAACGTGGATTTTTTAAAGAAAATTTCCAAAAATTATTTGAGGTCTTTAAACGTGGATTTTTTAAAGAAAATTTCCAAAAATTATTTGAGGCCTTTAAACGTGGATTTTTTAAAGAAAATTTCCAAAAATTATTTGAGGCCTTTAAACGTGGATTTTTTAAAGAAAATTTCCAAAAATTATTTGAGGCCTTTAAACGTGGATTTTTTAAAGAAAATTTCCAAAAATTATTTGAGGCCTTTAAACGTGGATTTTTTAAAGAAAATTTCCAAAAATTATTTGAGGCCTTTAAACGTGGATTTTTTAAAAAAAATTTCCAAAAATTATTTGAGGCCTTTAAACGTGGATTTTTTAAAGAAAATTTCCAAAAATTATTTGAGGCCTTTAAACGTGGATTTTTTAAAGAAAATTTCCAAAAATTATTTGAGGCCTTTAAACGTGGATTTTTTTAAAGAAAATTTCCAAAAATTATTTGAGGCCTTTAAACGTGGATTTTTTAAAGAAAATTTCCAAAAATTATTTGAGGCCTTTAAACGTGGATTTTTTTAAAGAAAATTTCCAAAAATTATTTGAGGCCTTTAAACGTGGATTTTTTAAAGAAAATTTCCAAAAATTATTTGAGGCCTTTAAACGTGGATTTTTTAAAGAAAATTTCCAAAAATTATTTGAGGCCTTTAAACGTGGATTTTTTAAAGAAAATTTCCAAAAATTATTTGAGGCCTTTAAACGTGGATTTTTTAAAGAAAATTTCCAAAAATTATTTGAGGCCTTTAAACGTGGATTTTTTAAAGAATTTTTCAAAAATATTTTGAGATCTCTAAACGTGGATTTTTTAAAGAATTTTTCAAAAATATTTTGAGATCTCTAAACGTGGATTTTTTAAAGAATTTTTCAAAAATATTTTGAGATCTCTAAACGTGGATTTTTTAAAGAATTTTTCAAAAATATTTTGAGATCTCTAAACGTGGATTTTTTAAAGAATTTTTCAAAAATATTTTGAGATCTCTAAACGTGGATTTTTTAAAGATATTTTCCAAAAATTATTTGAGGCCTTTTAACGTGGATTTTTTAAAGAAAATTTCCAAAAATTATTTGAGGCCTTTAAACGTGGATTTTTTAAAGAAAATTTCCAAAAATTATTTGAGGCCTTTAAACGTGGATTTTTTAAAGAAAATTTCCAAAAATTATTTGAGGCACTTAAACGTGGATTTTTTAAAGAAAATTTCCAAAAATTATTTGAGGCCCTTAAACGTGGATTTTTTAAAGAAAATTTTCGAAAATATTTTGAGATCTCTAAACGTGGCTTTTTTAAAGAATTTTTCAAAAATATTTTGAGATCTCTAAACGTGGATTTTTTAAAGAAAATTTCCAAAAATTATTTGAGGCCTTTAAACGTGGATTTTTTAAAGAAAATTTCCAAAAATTATTTGAGGCCTTTAAACGTGGATTTTTTTAAATTTGCATTTTTTGTTTATTTATTACCTTAACCACGCCCCTCTTATCTTAGGTTTTTTTTTTAAATTTTACTCCAGGAAAAACTATTTTTATTTTTTTCATATTTTTTTCTCAGTGTATCTGTGTGTGTGTGTTCTAAAACGAGGCACTTGTTTATGTATTTGTTTTTGTAATTGTTATCGATTTTATTTCACGTTTTTTGTTGTTTTTTTCTGAGGAAGGGACAATTATCCTAGACACCTATTATCACCTATTCTCCAGAGTACTATGGCAATTTTTATTTTTGTCTAAAACTGAATTTCCCCCACCTGGGGATGAGGATGGGCTCTATGGGCCTTTGAGACCCCATGGCAAACCTAACATATTTTTTTTACTTTTAACCGAAATCTATTTGACCCCAAATCATCTGTAATTGCCATTTTCACCATCGCTGTCGCCCAATTGAAAGCCCGTCCCGGAAGGGGGCCCCCTTCCGAACATGGCCATTGTTGTATTTGTGTGCTGGCCATTCATATTATTGAGCCCATAGTCGCCCATCGTATAGCTATCATCCATGATGTTGTAGAGACCCTCGCCGGTTTCGTAAAGTACCCGATTTTTCAGCTGTTCAATTTGATGCAGCAGCTTAAGGGTCTCGTGATCCAGATTATCATCCTCCACATGCATTTGTTTTTGTTGTTCCTCATCCACGTCCCATTCCAGGGATTCGGGTGTGGAAATATGGGACCAAGAGTTATGCGAACTATTGCGTGTTATGGAACGCTGCATATGAGAATTGGAGCGCAGGAGGGCTCTTCTCTCCACGGAACGTTGGGCATCTTTGCTACGTATTTGCGAACGTTGTCGGGTCACTTCAACTTCAGCTTCACTGGGCAGTTCCGCCATCGATGACATGGAAGCCATAGAATTCAATTGATCCTCTTCCACTTCGCCATCTCGGCTCACATAGTGCCATGACTCATCGGCCGAGGTTTCATCACAGTTTTTCGTTTCCATCATTTGTAGCTGCTGATACGATTGGAGCATTTGGGTGCGCTGTTTGATCATGTGCTGTTGGTAGTGACGCATTTGACTGTATTCATGTTCCCATTCGAGGTCCAAGGAGGAACTGGCCCGGGAGCTGGGCACCCGGCTGGGTATATAGTTGATCGACGATTCTTTGGTGTGACCCGTTGTGGCCAGGAGATTGTTGACATCCAGGTTTTGCAGCTGTATGTCGGAGAAGCTGGAAAGAGAGAGAGAAAGAGTATACATTTTTAGAAATATTTTTTCAAGATCCTTAAAAAACGAGGATTTTTTTTTAAATATTTTTTTCAAGGACTATCAATAAACGTGGATTTTTTAAAAATATTTTTCCAAGGTCCTTAAAGAAACGTGGAGTTTTTAAAAATATTTTTCCAAGGTCCTTAAAGAAACATGGATTTTTTAAAAATATTTTTCCAAGGTCCTTTAAGAAACGTGGATTTTTTTAAAATATTTTTCCAAGGTCCTTAAAGAAACGGGGATTTTTTAAAAATATTTTTCCAAGGTCCTTAAAGAAACGTGGATTTTTTTTTAGAAATATTTTTTCAAGGTCCTTTCGCAAACGTGGATTTTTTAGAAATATTTTTCCAATGTCCTTAAAGAAACGTGGATTTTTTAAAAATATTTTTTCAAGGCTTAACAATAAACGTGGATTTTTTAAAAATATTTTTTTCAAGGCCTAACAATAAACGTGGATTTTTTAAAAATATTTTTTCAAGGCCAAACAATAAACGTGGATTTTTTAAAAATATTTTTTCAAGGCCTAACAATAAACGTGGATTTTTTAAAAATATTTTTTCAAGGCCTAACAATAAACGTGGATTTTTTAAAAATATTTTTTCAAGGCCTAACAATAAACGTGGATTTTTTAAAAATATTTTTTCAAGGCCTAACAATAAACGTGGATTTTTTAAAAATATTTTTTCAAGGCCTAACAATAAACGTGGATTTTTTAAAAATATTTTTTCAAGGACTATCAATAAACGTGGATTTTTTAAAAATATTTTTTCAAGGCTTAACAATAAACGTGGTTTTTTAAAAATATTTTTTCAAGACCTAACAATAAACGTGGATTTTTTTAAAAATATTTTTTCAAGGCTTAACAATAAACGTGGTTTTTTTAAAAATATTTTTTCAAGACCTAACAATAAACGTGGTTTTTTTAAAAATATTTTTTCAAGACCTAACAATAAACGTGGATTTTTTAAAAATATTTTTTCAAGGCTTAACAATAAACGTGGATGTTTAAAAAATATTTTTTCAAGGACTATCACTATAAACGTGGATTTTTTAAAAATATTTTTTCAAGGCTTAACAATAAACGTGGACTTTTTTATAATATTTTTTCAAGGCTTAACAATAAACGTGGACTTTTTTAAAATATTTTTTCAAGGCTTAACAATAAACGTGGATTTTTTAAAAATATTTTTTCAAGGCTTAACAATAAACGTGGACTTTTTTAAAATATTTTTTCAAGGCTTAACAATAAACGTGGACTTTTTTAAAATATTTTTTCAAGGCTTAACAATAAACGTGGATTTTTTAAAAATATTTTTTCAAGGCCTAACATTAAACGTGGATTTTTTAAAAATATTTTTTCAAGGTCCTTAAAGCAACGTGGATTTTTTAAAAATATTTTTTCAAGGCCAAACAATAAACGTGGATTTTTTAAAGATATTTTTTCAAGGCCTAACAATAAACGTGGATTTTTTAAAAATATTTTTTCAAAACCTAACAATAAACGTGGATTTTTTAAAAATATTTTTTCAAGGCCTAACAATAAACGTGGATTTTTTAAAAATATTTTTTCAAAACCTAACAATAAACGTGGATTTTTTAAAAATATTTTTTCAAGGCCTAACAATAAACGTGGATTTTTTAAAAATATTTTTTCAAGGCCTAACAATAAACGTGGATTTTTTAAAAATATTTTTCAAGGACTATCAATAAACGTGAATTTTTTAAAAATATTTTTTCAAGGACTATCAATAAACGTGGATTTTTAAAAAATATTTTTTCAAGGACTATCAATAAACGTGGATTTTTAAAAAATATTGTTTCAAGGACTATCAATAAACGTGGATTTTTTAAAAATATTTTTTCAAGGCCAAACAATAAACGTGGATTTTTTAAAAATATTTTTTCAAGGCCTAACAATAAACGTGGATTTTTTAAAAATATTTTTTCAAGGCCTAACAATAAACGTGGATTTTTTAAAAATATTTTTTCAAGGCCTAACAATAAACGTGGATTTTTTAAAAATATTTTTCAAGGCCTAACAATAAACGTGGATTTTTTAAAAATATTTTTTCAAGGCCTAACAATAAACGTGGATTTTTTAAAAATATTTTTTCAAGGCCTAACAATAAACGTGGATTTTTTAAAAATATTTTTTCAAGGCCTAACAATAAACGTGGATTTTTTAAAAATATTTTTTCAAGGCCTAACAATAAACGTGGATTTTTTAAAAATATTTTTTCAAGGCTTAACAACAAACGTGGTTTTTTTTAAAAATATTTTTTCAAGGCCTAACAATAAACGTGGATTTTTTAAAAATATTTTTTCAAGGCTTAACAATAAACGTGGTTTTTTTAAAAATATTTTTTCAAGGCTTAACAATAAACGTGGATTTTTTAAAAATATTTTTTCAAGGCCTAACAATAAACGTGGATTTTTTAAAAATATTTTTTCAAGGCTTAACAATAAACGTGGACTTTTTTAAAATATTTTTTCAAGGCTTAACAATAAACGTGGACTTTTTCAAAATATTTTTTCAAGGCTTAACAATAAACGTGGATTTTTTAAAAATATTTTTTCAAGGCTTAACAATAAACGTGGACTTTTTTAAAATATTTTTTCAAGGCTTAACAATAAACGTGGATTTTTTAAAAATATTTTTTCAAGGCCTAACATTAAACGTGAATTTTTTAAAAATATTTTTTCAAGGCTTAACAATAAACGTGGATTTTTTAAAAATATTTTTTCAAGGCTTAACATTAAACGTGGATTTTTTAAAAATATTTTTTCAAGGTCCTTAAAGCAACGTGGATTTTTTAAAAATATTTTTTCAAGGTCCTTAAAGCAACGTGGATTTTTTAAAAATATTTTTTCAAGGTCCTTAAAGCAACGTGGATTTTTTAAAAATATTTTTTCAAGGCCTAACATTAAACGTGGATTTTTTAAAAATATTTTTTCAAGGTCCTTAAAGCAACGTGGATTTTTTAAAAATATTTTTTCAAGGTCCTTTAACAAACGTGGACTTTTTAAAAATATTTTTTCAAGGTCCTTAAAGCAACGTGGATTTTTTAAAAATATTTTTTCAAGGTCCTTTAACAAACGTGGACTTTTTAAAAATATTTTTTCAAGGACTATCAATCAATGTGGATTTTTTAAAAATATTTTTTCAAGGTCCTTAAAGAAACGTGGATTTTTTAAAAATATTTTTTCAAGGTCCTTAAAGAAACGTGGATTTTTTAAAAATATTTTTTCAAGGTCCTTAAAGAAACGTGGATTTTTTAAAAATATTTTTTCAAGGTCCTTAAAGAAACGTGGATTTTTTAAAAATATTTTTTCAAGGTCCTTAAAGAAACGTGGATTTTTTAAAAATATTTTTTCAAGGTCCTTAAAGAAACGTGGATTTTGTAAAAATATTTTTCAAGTTTTTTTTTTATATACTAGATTTTTAAAAAAATATTTTTCAAGTTTTTTTTTATATACTAGATTTTTAAAAAAATATTTTTCAAGTTTTTTTTATAAACGTGGATTTTTAAAAATTTTTTTTCAAGGTCCTTAAAGAAACGTGGATTTTTTAAAAATTTTTTTCCAAGGTCCTTAAGGAATCGTGGATTTTTTAAAAATATTTTTTCAAGGTCCTTTAAGAAACGTGGATATTTTAAAAATATTTTTTCAAGGTCCTTTAAGAAACGTGGATTTTTTAAAAATAGTTTTTCAAGGTCCTTTAAGAAACGTGGATTTTTTAAAAATATTTTTTCAAGGTCCTTTAAGAAACGTGGATTTTTTAAAAATAGTTTTTCAAGGTCCTTTAAGAAACGTGGATTTTTTAAAAATATTTTTTCAAGGTCCTTTAAGAAACGTGGATTTTTTAAAAATATTTTTTCAAGGTCCTTTAAGAAACGTGGATTTTTTAAAAATATTTTTTCAAGGTCCTTTAAGAAACGTGGATTTTTCAAAAATATTTTTTCGAGATCCTTAGAGAATCGTGGATTTTTTAAAAATATTTTTCCAAGGTCCTTAAAGAAACGTGGATTTTTAAAAAATATTTTTTTAAAGATCCTTTAGCAAACGTGGATTTTTAAAAAATATTTTTTTAAAGATCCTTTAGCAAACGTGGATTTGTAAAAAAATATTTTTTTAAAGGTCCTTTAGCAAACGTGGATTTTTGAAAAAATATTTTTTTAAAGGTCCTTTAGCAAACGTGGATTTTTAAAAAATATTTTTTAAAGGTCCTTTAGCAAACGTGGATTTTTAAAAAATATTTTTTAAAGGTCCTTTAGCAAACGTGGATTTTTAAAAAATATTTTTCAAAGGTCCTTTAGCAAATGTGGATTTTTTAAAAATATTTTTCAAATGTCCTTTAGCAAATGTGGATTTTTTAAAAATATTTTTCCAAGGCCCTTAAAGAAACGTGGATTTTTAAAAAATATTTTTCAAAGGTCCTTTAGCAAATGTGGATTTTTTAAAAATATTTTTCAAATGTCCTTTAGCAAATGTGGATTTTTTAAAAATATTTTTCCAAGGCCCTTAAAGAAACGTGGATTTTTAAAAAATATTTTTCAAAGGTCCTTTAGCAAATGTGGATTTTTTAAAAATATGTTTCCAAGGCCCTTAAAGAAACGTGGATTTTTTAAAAATATTTTTCAAAGGTCCTTTAGCAAATGTGGATTTTTTAAAAATATTTTTCAAAGGTCCTTTAGCAAATGTGGATTTTTTAAAAATATTTTTCCAAGACCCTCAAAGAAACGTGGATTTTTTAAAAATATTTTTCAAAGGTCCTTTAGCAAATGTGGATTTTTTAAAAATATTTTTCCAAGGTCCTTAAAAAAACGTGAATTTTTTTAAAAATATTTTTCCAAGGTCCTTAAAAAACGTGCTTTTTTTAAAAATATTTTTCCAAGGTGGATTTTTTAAAAATATTTTTTCAAGGTCCTTTAACAAACGTGGATTTTTTAAAAATATTTTTTCAAGGTCCTTTAACAAACGTGGATTTTTTAAAAATATTTTTTCAAGGTCCTTAAAGAAACGTGGATTTTTTTAAAATTATTTTTTGAGGTCCTTAATAAACGTGGATTTTTTAAAAATATTTTTTCAAGGTCCTTAATAAACGTGGATTTTTTAAAAATATTTTTTCAAGGTCCTTAATAAACGTGGATTTTTTAAAAATATTTTTTCAAGGTCCTTTAACAAACGTGGATTTTTTAGAAATATTTTTTCAAGGTCCTTTAACAAACGTGGATTTTTTAAAAATAGTTTTCCAAGGTCCTTAAAGAAACGTGGATTTTTTTTAAATATTTTTTTCAAAGTCCTTTAAGAAACGTTGATTTTTAAGAAATATTTTTTAAGGTCTCTTAAGAAACGTGGATTTTTTTAAAAATATGTTCCAAGGTCCTTAAAGAAAAGTGAATTTTTTAAAAATATATTTCCAAAATCCTTAAAGAAACGTGGATTTTTTAAAAAAATTTTTCCAAGGTCCTTAAAGAAACGTGGATTTTTTAAAAATATTTTTCCAAGATCCTTAAAGAAACGTGGATTTTTTAAAAATATTTTTCCAAGGTCCTTAAAGAAACGTGGATTTTTTAAAAATATTTTTCCAAGGTCCTTAAAGAAACGTGGATTTTTTAAAAATATTTTTCCAAGGTCCTTAAAGAAACGTGGATTTTTTAAAAATATTTTTCCAAGATCCTTAAAGAAACGTGGATTTTTTAAAAATATTTTTCCAAGGTCCTTAAAGAAACGTGGATTTTTTAAAAATATTTTTTAAAGATCCTTTAGCAAACGTTAATTTTTTATAAATATTTTTTAAAGATCCTTTAGCAAACGTGGATTTTTTAAAAATATTTTTTGAAGGTCCTTTATCAAACGAGATTTTTTTAAAAATATTTTTAAGGGCCTCAACATAAGCGTGTATTTTTTTAAAAATATTTTTAGGGGCCTCAACATAGGCGTGTATTTTTTAAAAATATTTTTAGGGGCCTCAACATAAGCGTGGATTTTATAAAAATATTTTTCCAAGGTCCTTAAAGAAATGTGGATTTTTAAAAAATATTTTTTATGGTCCTTGGATTTTTTAAAAAAATATTTTTTTAAGTTCCTTGGATTTTTTAAAAATATTTTTTTTCGGAGTCATTTAACAAATGAGGATATTTTTTTTTTAAAAATGTTTTCATACCTTTCTCCATTATTTCCATTGCTCAGCTTGGCATACGTGGTATCCTGATGCTGCCAAAATTTGTCCAAGATGTGTGAGGATTTTTTCTGAAATAAAAAAAATTGATGAATTTAAAAAAAAAGAATTAAATCAATTATTTAATTAAAAAAAAAAAATACTTTCTTGATTTTAAATTATTTGAGATTAATAGTAGGCCTACCTTCCTTTTGAAATTCCATATGCGAAATATGAAATTATTTCGCTGCTGCGGACCGCTTACATTGGAGATTAAATCGAAATCTTGGTCATCTGTTGAATGGCGCCTAAAAGTAGACAACAAAGAACGAATACAATGAAAGATGAATGGAAACAATACACACATAAAGCACTGAGTGCAGCACTGCCTGAAGAGGCAAATTAATTTCAATAGAAAATCGTTAAGCCCCCCAGTATATCAACCCCCCTTGCCGACCCTTGCCTCTGGCTGGATTAGGCCCGAGGCACAACAAACTCAGACACAATTTGCCACTTGAAGAGTGAAAAATGCATGCAACAAAAACAAGAAATATATATAAGTCAGCTAACTAACAACAGTTACAATTTTCTCTCTATGAATGAATGAATCGCATTCACTCACACACACACACATGCATAGCCACTCACATAGAAGCTAAACAAAAACAGCAGAAGCATACTTTTAGGCTATTGACCTCTGGGTTTAAGGGCTTTTCCTACAATTTTTTTCGCTATGTGTCTGAAAAGAAATACTGGCAGGTTGACTGGCTCGTTGATATGGCTTAAGTACCCATACTCATGCTCCTAGAGTATATTGATGAGGCGGACGGGGGGAAGGGACTTAGTCTATAAATTTATAACACCTCTTGCCTTTGTGTAACACACAAAGCGTATGTCTGTATGTGAGTGTGTGTGTGAGTAGGGCTTGCTGGTATGCCAGGTATTTTTTGTTTCGTTGTTGCAAAAAAATTGTTTTTGTTGTTGTCGTTGTTTTATGGTTATTCCATACCGGCAATTGTTGGCACAATTGACAGAGAACAAGCCCTACTACAACAACGTCAACAATCACTACGACAACAACAGCAACAAATAGGGGTCTGCATAATTTGGTAGATTGTTGGCTTGGCTGGTTTGGTTTTTCTTTGTATTCTTTCTCTTGTGACATACATTGTGTCAAGTGGTTATGTTGCAATGGAAATGGGAATTCCAAAAAAAAAATTTTAAAAATTATTTTTTGAGGACCTTCAATAAACGTGGATTTTTCAAAAATTATTTTTGAGGTCCTTTAACAAACGTGGATTTTTTAAAAATTATTTTTTGAGGTACTTCAATAAACGTGGATTTTTAAAAATTATTTTTTGAGGTCTTTCAATAAACGTGGATTTTTTAAAAAATATTTTTTAAGGTCCTTCAATAAACGTGGATTTTTTAAAAAATACTTTTTGAGTTCCTTCAATAAACATGAATTCTTTAAAAATTATTTTTTGAGGCACTTCAATAAATGTGGATTTTTAAAAATTATTTTTTTGAGGTACTTTAATAAATGTGGATTTTTAAAAATTATTTTTTGAGGTCCTTCAATAAACGTGGATTTTTTAAAAATTATTTTTGAGGTCCTTCAATAAACGTGGATTTTTTAAAAATTATTTTTTGAGGTACTTCAATAAACGTGGATTTTTTAAAAATTATTTTTTGAGGTCCTTCAATAAACGTGGATTTTTTAAAAATTATTTTTGAGGTCCTTCAATAAACGTGGATTTTTTAAAAATTATATTTTGAGGTACTTCAATAAACGTGGATTTTTTAAAAATTATTTTTTGAGGTACTTCAATTAACGTGGATTTTTTTAAAAATTTTTTTCTTGGGATCCTTAATAAACGTGGATTTTTTAAAAATTCTTTTTTGAGGTACTTCTATAAACGTGGATTTTTTAAAAATTATTTTTTGAGGTATTTCAATAAACGTGGATTTTTTAAAAATTATTTTTTGAGGTACTTCTATAAACGTGGATTTTTTAAAAATTATTTTTTGAGGTACTTCAATAAACGTGGATTTTTTAAAAATTATTTTTTGAGGTACTTCAATAAACGTGGATTTTTTAAAAATTATTTTTTGAGGTACTTCAATAAACGTGGATTTTTTAAAAATTATTTTTTGAGGTACTTCAATAAACGTGGATTTTTTAAAAATTATTTTTTGAGGTACTTCAATAAACGTGGATTTTTTAAAAATTATTTTTTGAGGTACTTCAATAAACGTGGATTTTTTAAAAATTATTTTTTGAGGTACTTCAATAAACGTGGATTTTTTAAAAGTTATTTTTTGAGGTACTTCTATAAACGTGGATTTTTTAAAAATTATTTTTTGAGGTACTTCAATAAACGTGGATTTTTTAAAAATTATTTTTTGAGGTACTTCAATAAACGTGGATTTTTTAAAAATTATTTTTTGAGGTACTTCAATAAACGTGGATTTTTTAAAAATTATTTTTTGAGGTACTTCAATAAACGTGGATTTTTTAAAAATTATTTTTTGAGGTACTTCAATAAACGTGGATTTTTTAAAAATTATTTTTTGAGGTACTTCAATAAACGTGGATTTTTTAAAAATTATTTTTTGAGGTACTTCAATAAACGTGGATTTTTTAAAAATTATTTTTTGAGGTACTTCAATAAACGTGGATTTTTTAAAAATTATTTTTTGAGGTACTTCAATAAACGTGGATTTTTTAAAAATTATTTTTTGAGGTACTTCAATAAACGTGGATTTTTTAAAAATTATTTTTTGAGGTACTTCAATAAACGTGGATTTTTTAAAAATTATTTTTTGAGGTACTTCAATAAACGTGGATTTTTTAAAAATTATTTTTTGAGGTACTTCAATAAACGTGGATTTTTTAAAAATTATTTTTTGAGGTACTTCAATAAACGTGGATTTTTTAAAAATTATTTTTTGAGGTACTTCAATAAACGTGGATTTTTTAAAAATTATTTTTGAGGTACTTCAATAAACGTGGATTTTTTAAAAATTATTTTTTGAGGTATTTCAATAAACGTGGATTTTTAAAAATTTTTTTTGAGGTACTTCAATAAACGTGGATTTTTAAAAATTTTTTTTGAGGTACTTCAATAAACGTGGATTTTTTAAAAATTATTTTTTGAGGTACTTCAATTTTTTTTTAAATTATTTTTTCAATGAATTAATAAACGTGGATTTTTTAAAAATTATTTTTTCAATGAGTTAATAAACTTGGATTTTTTAAAAAAATATTTTTTGAAACCAATAATAACCGTGGTTTTTTAAAAAAAAATATTTTTTGAAACCAATAATAAACGTGGATTTTTTAAAAAATATTTTTTGAAACCAATAATAAACGTGGATTTTTTAAAAATTATTTTTTGAAATACTCAATAAACGTGGATTTTTTAAAAATTATTTTTTGAAATACTTAATAAACGTGGATTTTTTAAAAATTATTTTTTGAAATACTTAATAAACGTGGATTTTTTAAAAATTATTTTTTGAAATACTTAATAAACGTGGATTTTTTAAAAATTATTTTTTGAAATACTTAATAAACGTGGATTTTTTAAAAATTATTTTTTGAAATACTTAATAAACGTGGATTTTTTAAAAATTATTTTTTGAAATACTTAATAAACGTGGATTTTTTAAAAATTATTTTTTGAAATACTTAATAAACGTGGATTTTTTAAAAATTATTTTTTGAAATACTTAATAAACGTGGATTTTTTAAAAATTATTTTTTGAAATACTTAATAAACGTGGATTTTTTAAAAATTATTTTTTCAATGAATTAATAAACGTGGATTTTTTAAAAAATATTTTTTCCAAGAATTAATAAACGTGGATTTTTTAAAAATAATTTTTCCATGAATAAATAAACATGGATTTTTTAAAAAATATTTTTTCCAAGAATTAATAAACCTGGACTTTTTAAAAATTATTTTTTTTAATGAATTAATAAACGTGGATTTTTTAAAAAATATTTTTTCCAAGAATTAATAAACCTGGACTTTTTAAAAATTATTTTTTTTAATGAATTAATAAACGTGGATTTTTTAAAAAATATTTTTTCCAAGAATTAATAAACCTGGACTTTTTAAAAATTATTTTTTTTTAATGAATTAATAAACGTGGACTTTTTTAAAAAATATTTTTTGAAGCCAAAAATAAATGTGGAATCCACGTTTTTTTTTTTAAATATTTTTAATGAATTAATAAACGTGGACTTTTTTAAAAAATATTTTTTGAAGCCAAAAATAAATGTGGAATCCACGTTTTTTTTTTTTAAATATTTTTAATGAATTAATAAACGTGGACTTTTTAAAAATTATTTTTTCAATGAATTAATAAACGTGCTTCGACTGTTTGTAAACTTCTCAAAAATATTTTTTAAAAAATCACCTGTTTGTAAACTCCTCAAAAATCAAATAAAAAAAATAATTTTAAAAAGAGGTATTTAAAAAATAATTTTTAAAAAATCCACGTTTATCAAGGACCTCAAAAAATAATTTTTAAAAAATCCACGCTTATTAAGGACCTAAAAAAATCCACGTTTATGGAAGGACCTTAAAAAATTATTTTTAAAAAATCTACGTCTAATAAGGAGTTCAGAAAATAATTTTAACAACGTGTTGCCTACTTTCAGGCATCTAGTTCCATCAGTATTATATTGCATACTTTAAGGTAGTTTTTGTTGAAAATCCGATTCTGTCTACCTGTCACCGTCTACTTCCTTGTCTCCTCCGGAGATTATTTTCACTTGCTGCATTCTTTGTTTTCTTCCCAGGTTTTTTTTCGCTCGCTCTCGAAGGAGAAGAAAACATTTAGCCATTATTTACACATTACTTCCACACACTGAAACAAACACAACAACAACAGCAACAAAGCCCAAGAAACTTGGCTCATTAATTTACTACTTTAATCCACGAAGTTTACCTTAAGTTTTTCCACGCCAGACCAGCCATTGTCACAAAGCATATGCCACGCTTCCAAGACAAAAGAAACAGAAAAAAAAAAAAAAACAAAACAACAACAACAACAAATATTACTTAATCCCCTCCCCCGTTACCCATGGAACTAATGACGGTGATGACGAGAATGACGACAGGGAAAATGCTTGCCCGGAAAATTGGGTCAAACCAAACTTGAACCATAAAAGCAAAGAGGTTCCAAAACACGCTCGAGATACGAAACAAAACATTGACTCCGAAAGGGGTGCGGGAAGGGGTGGCAGGGTTTGAGGCCATAACGCCCCTTGGCCAACACCTTAATAATGCAAATA